ATGAAAGTCTTCGCAAGGCAACTCCCTGTGTTCAGCTTCGGCTACACAACACTGCTCACCTGAAGCAAAGTTTGGCTCGAACAGTAAGTTGTCTTTTTTTCCTCCACTTTCTTTAAGCATCCCTGAAGGAATAAAATTCCACCAGTCCTTATACATAGCAACTTTCGGTAACAGTCAGAGAGATTATTTGCTTTCCTGAGGGTGCATATATTATTGCTGAACTCCAGGTGAAACGTACTGGGAAACATCTCTGCTTTGCTCCCATATTTATATCTAGTGAGTTACTGTAGAGAACACGACTGAAAAAGAACAAAGGTTACTTTTTCAGAAAAAAAATTGGTTTTGTCAGAGTTTAATGCTGTTTTTTTCAAGTGGTCAGAGAATTCTTATTTTGCATTGGCCTTTCTGTTTTGAAATATAACAAGGGCAAAACTTCTCAAGGTACTATGTAGAATGAATTAGATTTGGATTCTTGTCATTATCACTGAAAACCAGGGTAGGTATATAAAAGCCAGAATCACTGATGGTGTGCTTGTGCATGCATGATGCGTGTGCGTGTGGTTGGTTGTACCCATGCAGAAATGTCCTTGCAGAAAATGTTGTTTTATCATCATCTCTAAATCCAGGGAGATTGCCATTAGGATTCTTTGACTTTAAGCAACCTTGCAGTGGATTACTGAGCTTCAGTGACACTGACCTGTGTTACTAAATGTGAGCTTTATTCTCAGTGGACAACCTTGATTTACTTCCAGCCCAAAGTTTGCAGTGCAGCAGATGCTTTGCTCTGAACAGTGTTCACTGGCAGTGTGTTATCTCTGTTCACAGATAGTACCAATTACCTGCTTTGCATAGGTATGATGATAACCTGAGTCTGTCAAAATATGGGTCAGATGACAGATGTCTAGCAAAAAGAGGGTAGGGGCTTTCTTTTAATTTGTATGTGTTGCCATGTGAAACCTCAAGTTCAATATAATATTTTACCTGAAACATTAAAAAAAGGACTATAATGAAGTTTATTATATATACATATCTAACATTTTAACAAGTTTATAGATAAAAGAATTATAGTTTAGTGCTAATATGTGTTACCCCAGTTTAAATTACTGGCGTTTTTCACTGCCAATATTATTCACTTATTTTTGAAAAGCTATTGATTCTCTTTGACATAGCATTGTCTAAACAAAGTAAATTGGGAAACATGAAACTTTTCATCACCAGGTCCCTTCTTCAAATATGATTCAGATCAGTGAATTAACAAATATTTGCTTTCAGTCTAGAGAAAATAGTTGATGTTTGAATATACCTTCAGAAGGCGCTGAGCAAGTGTCCATCTCATATATTCTTTTTCATCTCACCCCCATATCACAGCAGTAAAAAGAACACATTCAGTGAGCACTGGAATGAGTTTTGCCTTGGGAAAGTATCTGTGGTACCTTGTTGTCATTTAACTGCAAGTTGTTGAGGTTAAAGCAGAAATCACCATGTGCCTGAGATTAGATGGACATCACAGTCCTTTCTGGTGTTAGATCCTGTGTTAGGGATGGAAAAGATCATTCAGCTGCCAAAGGGGCTTGTGAAGAGTGAAGCGTTGGTGATTAGATGTAATTATGGACACGTGTAAATATGTGTAATGTTGGAAAAGTTATTTACCTTTTCTAGGTCAGCATCTACTACTATACATCTTCAAAACTGGAACCTAATGATGTGTTCAGGACTCTCTTGTGAAGCTTCAAAGCTTGTTTGTGCGCTAAGGAAGTAGAACTCTACATTAAGGCCATCTGTAGGCTGACTCTTGCTTACCTTATGTAACCCTGTTGAATTCAGGTTGCATAGTTAAAAATATCTGTCTGTACATGCAAGTTACTATTATTTTATTATTATGCTTAATAACCAATATAAGTGGATACTTTCAAGTAATGAGCAACTTTTTTTTTTTAAAAACAGACACTTTTTGAACTTTAGCCAATAACTTAATGTTCACAATTCTTTTGTAAAGTCAGCTGAAAAACTTATCTTTTAAGGTGAATACTTGCTTTCTTTCCTTTTGTGGGAATCTGGCATTCTATTATGAAGTATTCAGAGCAGGAAATTGTCTTCAGATGAGCAATTACAAGCAAGAAACTTGGCCAAGGGCTTTACATGGAATCACAGGTCCTTCAGCCTAGTGGATGACCTTTAATTTGATTTTAGTTTTTGGAGACATGAGATTTATCAGCCTTAACACTCTTGAAGAAAAGTTTTTTAAGACATGAATTTTCAAGATGCACAATTCCTACTAAACTGATACAAGCGTATACAGGGAGCATAAGGTTATAGATTTTATACCATCTAGACAGAGCTTTTGTTGACAGGAGTGGGAATTCTGCACCTTAGAGGTTTTTCTCCACACACTGAAATCTTGAGATTGACAACAAATAGGGAGAAAATCCAATAGTCCTCTTGGTGGCCCAGTGTACACTGGTTGCAGTAATACTGAATGCTGACTACTAGATTTGTTTTGACTACACACCTGTCCTACTCTGTATTTTAACCCAGGTCTCTAAGAAGTGACTCTTCAACACAAACCTCAAGTTGTAGTGGGTCAGAAAAGTTAAATTCCTAGCAGATAGGTGGTGGTTTGGAAGAAATGTTCAGTGGAACAGCATAGAAGGAGAAACCTTTATCCAGATACCATATCCAGGGAGTGCTCTGCCTGTCCTAGAGACCTGTTTTTTTCAGAGTTGTCCCCACATTCTGATTATTTCAGAAAAACCATAAATCTTTGTAGTGGAGAGGCAGGAAAGAATACCTATGGGTTCCTAACAAAAGCCTCACTTCCTCCCAGAAAGGGATTTTTGGACTAAAAGAGCCAGGAAGTGATATTTAGTCAGAGGCCCATCATGGGAAGAAGGTGGAGATTTTTCCATATTTAAATGTTTGCAGTTTTCTAGAGGGATTGTGTAGTACTCAAACAGAAGGGAGCTTTGTATTTAAGTGTCCCTCAAAATTGTGCTACTGAAAAATGCTGCATGTTCTATTAATATGCTTAAAGTCTCCTCCAACTCTGTTGCTGTTTGACATGTTTAAACAAGGTTTAATATACTGCAATGCACTATGGAGGCCAGGAGCAGAGACTGAGCATCCTTGATGCTTCAAGTTTTGGAAATGGTTATAATTACCAGGTAGCATGATTACTAGCACACAATAATGTCTTTCAGCCAGGTAACTAACAAGCTTGGAAGACAAATCAGCAGTGTTCAGGCCATTAGAAAATGTTCATTATCTCAAAGAATTTGTGGAACCTACAATGGGGTTTTAACTAGGGAGGGTGACATTTTAAGATCTCCTCAAGTGAATTATTGATCACCCCTTCACAGTAACACACAGTTCTGAGAGCTTCAGGCCATGAAGTTACTTCCCGTTACTAATAATAGCAAAGAACATGAGCAGCTCTTGAGGTGGAATAAGCCACAGACACAGAGTTTTCCTCCAGCTCCAGGGCATGCTTGTGACAGAGCACTTGTAGAGAAAGGAGAGGTTCTGCTAGCAGGCAGGAGTGCCAGTGAGTCTGTCAGGACCAGAAAAAACCTAACAGAGGAGATAGATACGGTGCATTCAAAGCTGCAGTATTTATTTCACTTTGGACCCAGTTCTATAGATTTCTTCAGCTCTACTGAAATCTGCTCCAGTCAAACTGAAATCAAGGCTCTGACATAGCCTATACTGAGCTCAGAGTTAATTTTGTTGTTGCTGTTAACTAAAACATAGGGGACCCCTGGTGGCCTAGTGGTTAGCGTGCAGGACTTTCACTGCTGCGACCACGGGTTCGATTCCCAGTCCCTCCCGGGCAGATGGAACCCGTTAGCCCTGTGAGGCCATCCATCTATGAGAAGGATACTCTAAACAAACCTACGTCCTGAGGACCTCACTGCCATTGTCCAAGCTTGCTTGGCCCCGGCAGATGAACCTTAGGATTAAAGGGTGGGCTCAGTTCAGCGCAGGCTGTGTCTCACCTAAAAAATCCATTGCGCAGGCTGGAAAGGTAAAAGACCTTTCCCCAAATCTTCGTTCGCGAAGATGGGCCATTATTATTAACTAAAACATGTGCCTTTGGCCATAGAATACACTGTAAAGTCACAGACTTAGTGTCAGGTTCTGGAAAATAAATTTCTTTCTCTCAGAGTTCATGTAAAAAAGATGTGTAAAAAGTGTTCTTTTAAAAAACAAAAAAACTTCAAGACTTTTAAGATTCTTCAACTATCTCAGACAGTTATGCACTACTGTTTATATTTGTGATATAATGTGCACGTACTCTTGGGGAGAATTTGATTTATGTAATGTATATGATCCTTCTAAATTTTGAAATATGAACTATGTTACATTATAGAAATCTCCACTAAGGTTGTAATTTAACTAGTGTCATAGAAACATATGAATATCTTGTCACTCTTCTATATAATAATCAGCCATATGTATTCAGATAAATAATTCACATACACCCTGTTGCTGGAGTCCATCACATCCTCTTTGGATCCTATCAATCACACACTCATGATTCTTTACAGAGTGGATGTTCAAAAACAAGACATGGGTTCCCAGAAAGGTGGTCAATGCTTCATGATATCAGTCCCTTAGAAAGAGGCACTTGGACAAGCCCTTCATAATGGGCTTTAATCCTTGGTCAGTCCTGAAGAGGTGAGGTAGTTGGACTAGATGAAAACTGTAGATCCCGACCAACTGAACTACGTTGTCCTTCCCTCCTTCCTCCCTGCTTCCCCCTCTCCCCTCTCTTCTCCTCTTCCCTCTACTGCATTTCATCCCATTCCCTTGTGCCCTTCTTGTAAATTGGAATAACACTGACTAGCTTCCAGTCAGCAGGGACCTCCCCAGACTCCCAAGGCTTTTGCTAGAGGACTGAGGGGATCATGCCATAAGATCCACCAGCTCCTTTAGTACTCTGGAATGAATCCCACCAAGGCCTTGCGGACTTAGAAACATTCTTCAGTCATAACACACACGTATGCTGGAAAGAACTATGCTGTTTATTGGGTGCAGGAGAAGGGGGATGCTGTGGGGCCAAAGCTACTCAGTGCCATTGTGTGGGTCCAGGGGAGCAGCAGGGCCAGCTGGACACTCGTCTGCCCTCAGTGGGGCTGTCTCATGGGAAACACTGGATGTGGGAGCCTGCTGGGGAGGAGCGTTGGAGGGCCCTGGAGCTGCATCCTGCCTCTGGGCACTCTCAGTCCCCAGGAGGCCTCTTCTGCCAGCCAAGAGTTGTCGGTCGTGGGCCACCTCTGCTGGTTGTAGCGTTTCTACAGGGAGTTCCTGGAGGCCCCACTCCATGTCCATCATCCTCTGCAGTTGGGCATACAGGCCGATATTGCACTCCTCGTAGTCGTTGTCCCCTCGCACTGAGTACAGCAGCTTCTCAATGGGCTGCCTGCACACGGGGCAGTTTTGTCTTCCCCTGACCCACTGCCAGATGCACTGCCAGCAGAATTTGTGCATGCAGTAGGTCACGTAGACTGGCTTCTCCATGTGCCCCAGGCAGATGGGGCACTGGGAGTCTTCTGCTACCTCCATCAGTCCTGCCTGGGGCGACTGGCTCAGGCTGCCACCACTTTCAGTACAGCTGCTCTCCCCCATATCTTCTTTGGCACCTGATGCCATGTCCTGCCAAGAGAGATGTGGAGCTTATCTGGCAGGAGGGGCACTCGGGCTCGCTCGGGATGTCAAGCTGCAAGAGGTTCTGGGTCATCTGTGATGTCATAATCCATCACTAGGTAGATCCATCATCCGATTGGATAAGTAATTGATGATGTCAATAATGCATCACTTGGACTAGATTATCACTCCAGGTCCCCACCAATTGAACTATATATTCTCTCCTCTCATCTCCTCCTTTGTATTTCACTGTATTCCATTCCATTTCCCTGTGCCCTTCTTGTAAACTGGAATAATGTTTATTAGCTTCCACTCAGTGGGGAGCTCCCCAGATTCCCAAGACCTTTGATAGATGACTCTGGGAGTACTGCCATAAGATCTGCTAGCTCCTTTAGTACTCTGGGATGAATCCCACTACAGCTGCATGGACTTAGGAACATTTGAGTGATGCAGCTGGTCCCTTACAATTTCTGTATCCACAAAGGAAAAGCCACTGTTGCCACAATTGTGCTCCTCCAGCTCAGAGTACCAGAGAGTCCAAGGATTATCACCATTACAAAAGTCTGAGACAGAAAAAGCATTGAATGCCTCTGCTTTTTCTGCATTCCCATTTACCAGAGGACCATCCTCATCAAGTATGGGTCCAGTGTTTTCCTAGGGCCTCCATTTACTACTGACATACTTAATAACTTCTGTGCCCTTTCTGAGCACTTCATGAGTGCTTTCTGACACACTTTCTGAGCCCTTTCTAATAAAGAATGGCATGAAACAAGGCTGTGTTCTTGCTCCTACCCTATTCACAGTCTTTTTCAGCATGATGCTCCAAAGGGCCACGGCAGACCTCGATGATCAAGACATTATCTACATTCGATATCGTACTGATGGAAGCCTATTCAACCTAAGGCGACTGAAGGCCCACACCAAGACCTTTAACCATTTTGTCCGGGAGCTGCTTCGTGCTGATGATGCCGCCCTTGTCGCCCACACAGAAGCAGCTCTGCAGCGTTTAACTTCCTGCTTTGCAGACGCTGCTGAGCTCTTTGGGCTGGAAGTCAGCTTAAAGAAGGCAGAAGTTCTTCATCAACCTGCACCTCAGGAAGTCCCACATCATCCCCACATCACCATTGGCCAATCAGAACTCAAATCAGTTCAGCAGTTTAATTACCTAGGCAGCCTCATCTCCTCGGATGGTAAGATTGATGGGGAGATAGACAACAGGTTAGCAAAGGCATACAGTGCTTTTGGAAAACTCCATAAAAGAGTATGGCGTAATAAACACTTGAAGAAAAGTACCAAGATCAGTGTTTACAGAGCCATTGTGGTGTCTACTCTCTTATATGGATCTGAATCATGGGTCATCTACTGCCACCACCTGCGTCTCCTAGAACGCTTCCATCAACGCTGCCTCTGTACAATCCTAAACATCCACTGGTCAGATTATGTGACCAATACGTCTGTTCTAGAACAGGCCGCAATCACAAGTATTGAGGCCATGTTACTTAGAACACAACTGCGATGGGCAGGGCACGTCTCCAGGATGAAGGACCACTGCCTCCCTAAGATCCTGCTTTATGGTGAACTTGCCACCGGCTGCCGCAAGAGAGGAGCTCCGAAGAAAAGATACAAGGACTCCCTGAAACAACATCTCAGTCTTGGCCATATTGACCACCATAACTGGTCTACTCTGGCCTCCAATTGGGAGGCCTGGAGACACACCATCTATAACGCTGCTGATGCTTTTGAGAAAGCACGCAGGATCACCCTTGAGGAGAAAAGACAGCGCAGAAAGAATCGTGCCTTGCAGAGTGTACCATCTAAGGAGTCTTTCTGCTGTGCCTTTTGCAACTGGACGTACCTATCTTGTATTGGCCTTTTTAGCCACCAACACGCTTGTAACAATCGTGGGTAGAGCCCTTCCCAAATCTTCGTTTGCGAAGCCTAGCCATGATGTAAGCACTTAATAAAATCCCTTCTTGCTTTCTGGCACAGCAAAAGCCGGGGGAAGAAATGTCCAGTTCCCTCGAGAAGGAAAGCCTCTCGCTCCTCTGGGTCAAGTTTTCCCTCCCAGCTTACCTCTACCTCTGCGAGTCATCTCTCCCCCTGGCCCACCACTGTATGAAATCAAAGCAGAACTGATGCATGCTGTAGGCAGCGTTGTCTGCCTTTTTTATGGCTCCCAGGTAGATGGGGCCCTGGAATATGCTACTGTCTCCACTTGCCCTGCCTGGATTCAAGTACATCCTGTTCCCCTGCTGAATCTAATTTAACTCTCCTTTTCTTCTTCTCTCTTCCTTTCCTGAACACTCTTGCCCCCACTGGTACCTATAAAATGCCACCCAGTGTACAGGAAGTATGATAAGATATTCACTAAACAAAATTTCAGATCAAAACATCCTGAACATACTTAAGAACATTGCTGACTTTGGAAAATACAGTACAAATTTCTCCAACATACATTCTTCTTGTCAGAATGATATATCTCACTATACACCTCTCTTCCACAGTGTGGGGATGACCAAAGAAGGTTCTGTATGAATCAGCTGTTAAGAGACACTTGTGCCATGAGACTGACTCGGTAAGCTGGTATTTAGCAGTACTTATGTTTGCAATTGTTTGTATTTGCAGTGAACCTCCTTGCCCCAAAGGACAATTCCAGAACTACTGGAGACTGGAATGATACCAAAGAGAAAGACAACTCTCTCAATATTTCAGACTCTTATTTTGAGACCTTAGTGATTGTTCAGGAAAAATCAATAATCTCCTTTAGATCTATGTAATTTTTCCTCATTCTTTTCCTTTCGTGTCACTGAAGTTTTCACTAGAGATTTCATGTTTCCCAAAGATTCCCATGATTGAAGGTGTCATAATTTTTGAGATTAAATACCATAAAAATAATAGGTTTGCTCTTCATTAGGTCTGTATTTTCACAGTTGAGTGATCTTCTAAAAATTTTTATTGAATTTTTTTTTTATGAAGGCTAGCTAAGACAAGCTTTTAACTTGGCACTCAAAGTGCATCTGGCTCTAAAGCTAACCTGTGATGGACAAGCACTAAATGAGAGAGATTCCTCATTCAACTTTCATTGTATTCTGTTTCATGCTTTTAGATAAAGAAGTAGTTAACACTTTTTGTGATGTTTTTTGTCTATGTCTACACAGCTATCAAAGATGTACAAATAGGAAGTATGCCTGTGTGATGACACACAGGTGTTATTAGTTATCTAGCAGACAAGGATATTCAGGATAGCATTGGTAGCAGTGCTTCAATCATTGTTACTAGTTGCTGGATTTGTTTCCTAATAATTATGTAAAATTATGGCTACTTTATACAGAAAATTCCCTAGGAAAGAATAAACTGATGGAAAACACGCTAATTTTTTAAACTATCATTATAACTAATGAAATTATTCTGTAACCTGCATTTAGGCCAAGTATTCTAATAAACATGCTTACCTGGATGTAAAAAATCAACAAGGCAACCTCATATGTTCAGAACTACTTTCGAGCTGGGCAATGCTATGGAAAAGATGTTATGCCTGGAGATTTGGTCAAAGCAGAGCGACAACTTGTGTTAGCTATGATTTAACAGGATTACAGGATGAATTGCCAGGCAGCTACTCCACATACAAAAAGCCTGCCTAGATAAAGCTAGTGCAGATTGGAAATAAAAAGCTGTAAAGGCAGAACTACCTCTAGGAGGAAGTGAATGGTAGTGCCTGCAGGGAAATGCACTATGGTATTGGCACAGGGAAGGCCACCTAACATTTCTCTATGATTATTTCAGTGCAATGATTCTCCTTGTCCTGCTATACAGATAATGGAAGCCTAATCATGTACCTTGAAACCTGTACTTTAAGGCCCTGCTTGCAACCCTTATCTCTGATTTCTCAGCCCAGCTGAGATACATGAGGACACGCACAATTTCTCTGTAAACAATAGTCCATTTGCTCTGAAGAAATCAAAACACTTCTGTGACTTTCAGCTACCAAACTGCAATGGGGGTAGGAGAGTGGGGGGGATTTCCTTCTAAGCCTTCTGAAGAGGGAGAACCCTAACAGAAGACGAGTGGGGGATATAGGAATGCAAAAAAAAGTCAAGAATAAGGTGACAGAGTAAAACAAATAATGCTTTCTGCGTTAATTGCAACTGAAGGTAGTACAATTGCAATTGAATATAAATTGCAATTTCCACTTTTTCGTAAAAGCATGTGCAAACACTAACTACCTCTGATGACCATCAAGGCAATAATGTGTCCATTTTACCACTGATATCAGTAGGGTAGGCAGGGTGTAAAAGTGGGAATTAAGGTTTCCATATCCTTTCCTGATGATTTGACCCTAAAGAGGAGGCTGACACAGAAATGCCCTGTGAGTCAGACACTAGTTTTGTCTCACAGGTATCTGTTTTTGGTTTGTTCCAGCTGACAGATAATCGACAGCCAGAATTTCACAGTGCTCAAAACAGAAAATTACACAAACACTTCCTAAAAGCAAAACTCTGATTTTAGTTATCTTTTGGTGATAGCACTTGGAGCCTGTGGTCCTGAAATGGTGAGATTTACAGCTGAAGCATCAGTTCTGGAGTTCAGTGTAGAAAATGTATGCTCCTCCTCATAATCCTAATTAATTTAGTGAAGCTTTGCTAAGACACAGCAATCTGCTTGTACAGACTTTGTGGTAATTTGATGTATAGCATGACAAAGGCATGGAACCACAGAGTGGCATATGTCTGTCTACAGAAGTAAAACAAATTCCCAGCTTAGGTAAGGCTGAGGAAAAGGCAGTTGCTGAAACTGAGAATGTAAACTTGAGAACTGTATGCAAATAAAGTTTAGTGGACTGTGTAGCAATGGTTTCCCTTTTTATGACACACGGTTTTATACTTGTGATTTAGTATGGACTTTCGAAATGTAGAGCTTTTCCAGATGTTTTGCAGATTTTTTTACCTGATTCTCAGCAACTTTAGTCCATGAAGTGATTGAGAAAGAAGGCATTGAATCATAAAATCATTTAAGTTGGAAAAGACTTTTAAAATCATCAAGTCTAGCCGTAAGAAAGTAGCACATGCTGAAGTTCATCCTTCTTCAAGGTACTATTTAAGCACTTGCTTAACCTTAAAGAGTAAAATAAATGGGATGTGAAGTTCAGTAGACACTGAAATAGCAAACCACTTCTTGAAGTTCTTTAACTTGGGAAACTTGTATCCTCCATGTATACATAGATTTTTTGCATCTATTCTTTGTGGCAAATAACTACCAAAAAAACCATGAAGGTCCAGGCTCAATTACATGATGTCTACATACACACTTCTCCTTATTTTATACCAACATAAAAAGACTGTCAATTAAGCTATTCCAGACTTACAGAATGTGCAAGGAAAAAAAAAAAGGAAAAAACACCCAAACCTGTTCTCTTTATCTAATTGTTATTAACTTGATGTTGTTTTTTTCTGATTTCCAGGCAGAACCTTTTCTCTGTTATTATGAACTATAGAGATCAAGTGGAATATCTGTTGCAAAATGAGGTATTTGTTCTCAGTTTGTTATACCAGAAAAGCATTAACTTCTACGTGAAAGGTGTCTAATTATTAATCTGTCTCAGATGCAATTAAGAAAGACTTTTAATTAAGGCTGTTTAATCTGACTTTGAAAGGGTATACATTCTCTTAATAAAACTTGGCTTGAAGTTAGGAAGAAGGTGCTACAAATTTAAAATATCAAAGGTGACTGTTTCTAAGTGTCAAGGAACCTGTAAATAAAACCAGGACTATTTGGGTTGACAGTATAATATTTGAAATTAGTAGAGGTATAATGCATTATATGTATCTGCAAAATTTGTCCGTGATTTGCAAACCCACAAGCCTAATGTTTACATATTTAGAATATATATGCAAGCATGTGATACTTTGAAGGATTAGGTTTAGACAGCAAAACTCCCAGGAGCTTTAATTTTAAAGCATTGTGGGCTGCCAATTGAATGCTACATCCTTAAAGGAAAAATCTCTTAAGAAATCTTCTCTGCTAACTAGTGTTTTAAGGACAAGTGTCTAAAGGAAAAATTGAGTCATACCTTGGAAGAAACCACGTGCTTATTTGATTTGAATTTCAGATTGTCGTTATAACTGACTTTCAAGGGTTTAAAACTAGAAAGAAAACAAAAGATGTTGGTAAAATCAAAGAATACTGATGTAGCATGGAGATATTCCAGGGCATCCCTTCCAGAGTTATAACTCATTATGCTAAATTATGTATTTCTTTGGAATGTATGTTAAAATATAAAGTTATTATTTTGTTTCAGAACTCTGTCACCTATGTTTAAGTCCAGATTTTAATCTCTCTGGATATTCTCAATCCATGGGTATTTCTATTTTGAATAGTCAGAAAACATACACTTGCATACAAATGTGTATATATGCACCCACTATATATAAAAGCACATGTACATGAATACATAGATATCAATAAGTATGTAACTAAATATATAGAGATAAAAATATACTGTATTTTTATGTAAATCTTTGATACTTTTTCAAAATGCATGCAAATTTATAAGCTTTTGAACTGTGCCTTGCTACAAAGTAAAGCTCTGGGTCTGATAACTGTGTAGGTATTCACTGAATTTTCCTTTGTAAGCTACATCTCAAAGGAAAGTATTTAGTGTATAAAATGTGATGCAGCCATAACCATTTGGAAAATTGAGGTCCCCAAGCTGAAATGTGCATATATATTTCCTTACTGAAGTAGACCCATCAGGGTAGTTATTTACATTCCCTTGAAATTTTAGGGCCTAAAGTAAGAAGATTCTAAATTCAAAGAAGGCTGTAACCTCAACATTAATGAGACTTTGCAATCCACCCTCTGTAACTGATGCTGTGTAGATATTCCTCAGACCTATAATGAAGCACTCTTAAATTTGTTTTTGCCAAAGATTTTTACCTTGAGTAAGCAATTTCTTGAGATCATTAACTTTTTATAAAGGGAAGGAAGTACATTTTTCAAATATTCATACTATCTAAAAAAATATGTGTGTGTCTAGAGCTAAACTTCTCTGTAGTTAATTTTTTTTAATAAGGTCTTGCCTACTCTGGGACACTCAATAAAGTTCATATGAATTGCTTAAAAG